TTAACAGATAACATGCATTAATTTTTTTGTGCAACAAACTTGCATTACAGTTAACGTTAACTGTGTTTGGTTTTCATCTAAAAAAACTATGTTCGCTTTCACAATGATATTTAGCTTTTACGAAATAACGGCTCGCTAGTTAATCCTTGCTTGAAATAAAATTATCAAATAATGTTATGGACCAAGTATTTGTTAGATTGTGAAACCTACAAACTAGCTAAATTATTTTTACCCTGGTCCATGCTAAACGCTGTCAACCTCTGTAAACAGGGATAAGTTAGCTAAGCAATCCTGCATGATCACACTCGACTGTGCGTGCAAGTTGTAATTGACGTTGCATCTATATGACGTCATCAAACTATCTACGATGAACCTAATTAAACTTACTTTGTTATGTTTCGACCTACTGACTTGAACAACGGCCATTTACTTTGGCAAGTTCTTCTGTTTACCATGAATACTATTTAATAGAAATCAAACCAAATTTATGATTTTACATGTTACACTGTACATTAAAAGGTGTTTGACTTAGGACAAACTCAGAAATTCATGAATTTAAGGGCACCAAGTTTTTTTTATGGGAATAAAAAATGGATACAAGCTGTTCAATTGTTAAGGGCAACAATTTGGAAGGATTAGTTTGGGTTTTCGCCGGCTGTTCTGTTCCGGTTTCGTGTGGAGGAAGATGGGTGACTGAAAAAATGAGAGAGAAAGAGGGCTTGTTTATCCATTCCTCAGAATGTTTTTAAACCAGGCTGAAGAAATTCAAACGAGTTGTCCAAATTTTTTTAATCCCTGAGAAAATTCAAATAACAATAATTGATTATTATTTATTCCAGTAATCATTGTAAATGACACCAACAATTTGTATTCCACTGTTCTTACATTTTTTTAATCATTGCAGGCAACTTTACTGCTACCAATCCCATTGCATCAACTTCTGGGAGCGTGGCCCAGGAAGATGCTGGTTCTTTTACTGGACTAGTTGCTGCGCTTAAATCGGGTATGTTATGATGAACATCAGCTGTGTTCCCTATCTAGTTTTTATGAAATAATGGCTCACTAGTTTATCTTTGCTTGCATTAAACTATCATGTTATGGACCATGTATTTGTTAGATCGACAGTCGGAACCATATTTGTAAAGTTGTCAAATTACAACAAAAGTGTACTGACAAAGATATTACTTGAAGCTGGTTCATAATTACTCATCACTCTGTGCTGTTCTCCTTTCTACATGTGATTGTAATAATTCAATTCTAGTTCAAACTGCCATCCACTTATGCATATTTTCAGGGTTATTAGATACTTGCGGATGCCATCTCCTTGGCCTGCCTCGCCTCCTCCTCACCTCTCCCCTCCTGCCTCCCACTGCCGCCCCCATCTTTACCACCCCACTTTAGCTCTGTATGCACACAACCACCAATAGCCCAGGGAATAGAAAATCCACAAGGAAACGGGAGTAAGCAGTAGGACCTTTGTAGGGAGCAGGCAGGGATGCAAGTAACAGGAATGGGACGAGGAATGCGCCGGGGCTGCTGGGGAGGGAGGCGCCAGCGAGTGGCGTGCGAGGCTGGCCATTCCATTTTCTTGCTTCCTATTGGAAGGAGGTTTTAGGCTTTTAGCCGTAGCTTTATCCCCATCTTGTACCCATCTCTACAATTAGCTAAGGGAAAGTGACACTTCTATATTCTAATTTACCAACCTGAAGTCCATCTAAAATAATCTCCAACACGATTTTGGCATTCTCCATAAGTTAAAACTGTGAAGCTTACTCCCTCGACGAAACAAGAGCACCAGTTGGCAATTGCCGTGGCTAATCAGTAGCTCCGTGCCGATCAGGTGTTAATCCTCACACAAATACTTTTGATAGAAGCTGCTGGGCTTGGTGCCACCCTTCTGGCTCCTCCGGATAAAATTTGTCATTCAGATAAAAAGGGCAGCCCGGTGCATGTAGCTCCCACTTGCGCAGGGTCCGGGGAAGGGTCCAACCACTTTGGGTCTATTGTACACAGTCTTTCCAACATTTCTGTAAGAGTCTGTTTCCAGGACTTGAACCCGTGACCTCATGGTCACAAGGCAGCAGCTTTACCACTGCGCCAAGGCTCCCCTTCATAAAATTTGTCATTCAGATAATTTTGTAAATTGGTAGCCTCTGGCTGAACTTTTGAGCCTTGTTCTTTGAAAGCTGGTATAAAGTGTCGTGATATTGCATCTAGAATTTTCATGAACTGCAATCCATATTTCTCGTGAGGTTCAAAACTAGCTATCTAGAAACAGCACAATATTGGTTAGCTACATGGATGTCATACAGACATACACACATAGTCAGACACAAAGCACGTAATTCATGGTGCAGGTTTCTACCTTGAGGAAAGCATGAAAAGCAAAATCAGTGGCTGTGATGGCTGGGGGAGTATTGAGGGACATTGCAAGCCATTTCAGTCCCTTGTCTAAACCATGTGGATGTGGGGATTTGATCATTTGCCCTGTTTTACTTTGCACTTTGATAATTTGCTAATTTGCCACACAGGAAGGTAGCGAATTATCAAAGTGCAAAGAAAAAGGGACATATGATCAAATTCACCTGTGGATGCCGCATATCCTTTATTTCTGTCCGTAGAGAAAGTTACGCAGTCATATTTTTGTTCTATTGCAAAACAATAGTTTGTTGAACAGAAGTCTTTTATTTGAATAATGTGATGATGTAGAACATTGTATGTAATAACTTATCAAGGTTTATCATATGGTTTCATAGCACAAGCTATGGCAAAATGTAACTTCTATTTTATGTGTGGTGTATATCACTGCTGAAATTAAAAATAGCTATATAATAATGTTGGCTGTTACGTGCTGAATTAAAAATAACTATATAGTAATGTTGGCCTCTTTAACTAGCAGGTATATAGTAATGGTGGCCGTTACATATTGAAATAGCACTAACATCATACTCCCTCTGTTCCGAATTGCTTGTCGCAGAAATGGATGTATCTAGAACTAAAAATACGTCTAGATACATCCATTTCTGCGACGAGTAATTCGGGACGGGGGGAGTAGCAAATTGTAGGGATCAATTCACTCAGTAATGACCAATGAGTAGTACTCTGTAAAACAAACAAAAAACTCTACCTGATTACATGACATATCCACAAGCAAACACCAAATTTCCAAAGGTTTGCCCTTTCGATTTCAACTATTGACTATTAAAATCATCCGCCAAGCGATAATTGTTGAACTGTACAGTATTGAGTAGAAGTTCAATATGTGAGAAAATGAATGACAACACATAGGAATCTAAAATTTAGTAGAATGCCAAAAAATTCCAAGGCAGGAACGACTGAGCACCCTTAAAGATAGTTAGATAGCAAGTACTCTAGGTAGTAAAATACCTTCTAAACTAATTGAATGTTATTATCCGCTCCTGCTCTGTTGCTTCTATAAATGATGTAGGCTCATACTATTCGAAGTGCTCTTTATGTATTATGTGTGTCGTATAAGAAACAAAATACTAGAGCGTATAGAGTAAAGTTAATTCACTCCATTCATAGTAACTCCCTGAATTAAAAATAACTACTCCCTCCGTCCGGAATTACTTGTCGGAGAAATGGATGTATATAGACATATTTTAGTTTTAGATACATCCATTTTTATCTTTTTTCGCGATAAGTAATTCCGGACGGAGGGAGTATATAGTAATGTTGGCTTCTTTAACTAGTACTCCCTCCATTTCCTAAATATAAGTCTTTTTAGAGATTTCAATATGGATTACATACGGATGTATATAGACGTAGTTTACAGTGTAGATTCACTCATTTTGCTTTGTATGTAATCCATATTGAAATATCTAAAAAGACTTATATTTAGGAACGGAGGGAGTATATAGTAATGTTGGTCGTTGCATATTGAAATAGCACTAACATAATAGCAAATTGTAGGGATCAGTTCACTCAGTAATGACCAATGAGTAGTACACTCTGTAAAACAAACAAAAAACTCTACCTTAGTAGGGACTAGCATGACATATCCACAAGCAAACACCAAATTTCCAAAGGTTTGTCCTTCCAATTGCGACTATTGACTATTAAAATCATCCCCAAGAGATAACACACAAACTATTGAACTGTACAGCATTGAGTAGAAGTTCAATATGTGAGCAAATGAACGACAATACATAGGAATCCAAAATTTAGTAGAATGCCAAAAAATTCCTAGCCAGGAACGACGGAGCACCCTTAAAGATAGTTATTCCCTCCGTAAACTAATATAAGAGCATTTAGAACACTAAAGTAGTGACCTAAACGCTCTTATATTAGTTTACAGAGGGAGTAGATAGCAAGTACTTTTGAATGTTATTATCCTCTCCTGCTCTGTTACTTCTATAAATGTGCAAGCTCATACTATTCAAAGTGCTCTTTATTTATTATTATGTGTGTCGTATAAGAAACAAAATACTAGAGCGTACAAAGTTAAGTTAATTCACTCCATTCGTAACTCCCTGTTCGCTACGGAAAATTTCAGGATTGTGGTCTCGAACACACAACCTTCTAAAGAAAATTTTGTACCACCATTGCGACCTTCCGTATACAAATTCATGTCCTGCTCTGTTGCTTGTATAAATGTGTAGGCTCATACTGTTCAAAATGCTCTTTATTTATTACATGCGTCGTATAAGAAACAAAATACTAGACTGTACAAAATACTTGTAGCATACAAATTCATCAGTAATTAAGGGTTACTATCTCTAGCAGCAAGAATTTAGTGATGCTATTGCAACCGCCGGGATCGTTACAACATAAGTAAGGTAGCGGGGCAGGTGAGGGAGAGAGCAATTAGGTAAACAATAGTAGTAGAGTTTTAAAATGTCTGGTAACACCGTAGGTATTTTTAATACTTGTTTGTGTATTTCTTGCTTTTAATACTAAACAACAACTCATGTTTCAATTTGTCTGCAGATGCTAAAAGGTGTGTGGTGGGAATTGATCTGAACAGTGATGTCTTCAGCATGGCCATGATACCCGCAGATAAAGTACAATCTCGAATGGTGAACATCACAGAGACTCTTACAACAATAAAATATCAAAGGTTGATTGGGAAAGTTGCTAATAAGCAGGAGAAACACTTTTCCAATATTATGAAGGTTATTGGGAAAAATTTATCTGATCTCCGATCTGATCCGGATCTGCTTTCTTTGCTCACTCTGGATCGCATAACTAAGCTCCTTCATGTGGATATTCCAATCTTTGGAAAGGAATACCAATTCACTCCGACACACATTTTAGCAATGTTATTATCAGATTTTAAAGCTATGGCAGAGGCAGCTGTTGATATGGATGCTATCGTTGATGAGTTCTGCATTGGCATCCCTGGCTATTTCACCAAATCCCAGCAGATAGCTGTGCTTCAGGCCGCTGATATCGCCGGCCTGAATGTTTCAGTATTCAGTGCGACCACAGCGATTGCTTTGATGCATGCAGTACGTGGAGGAGGGAGTGATCAAGAACAAAAGGTTGCTTTTGTCGATGTGACTGATTCTGCCATGCAGGTTTGCATAGTTGTTTTGGAGAAGCGAGCAAAGCCTGATCCGAAACAATCCCAGACTGCTGCTCCTCGACCCCAAGCTAAGCGAATACTTGAAGTCTTGTCATATTCGTATGACCTCTTGCTCGGTCAGAAAGATTTCCTTAATACTCTTGTGAAATATTTCAAAGAGAATGGCCAGAGCACTGCTAATCTGCAAGAGGATTGTCTAAATCTCATGATACAGAATAAGCAGGTTCGGTTAAAAAAACAAAGAAATAATGATGAGGAATTGGGCCAACTGATGTTTCGTAGTGAAAAAATCACAGAAGCAGAGTTCAAATGCATATGTAATCCTTTCGTGCAGCGAATGAAGGGATTACTTCAGAAGGCTATTGACAAAGATAACAGAAAATTCAGTGCTGTTTTCATTACTGGACCTGGATCACACATTTCTCCTATATATGACTGTGTTCAAGAAGTTTTTAACATGACACCAGGAGTATTAACCGGCACCACATATGAAGGTCTATCAGTGGGAGTTGCAGTGGGCTGTGCCCAAAATTGCGCCATTCAAAGCAAAAAGTTTCTTGCATGCTCCAGTGAAGATGAGAGGAGTAAATACAACATGAAAAAGCTTTTAGAATGGCAGGTATGAGGAACTCTTCTAGATTTCTAATTTTACACACGTTTAGCATCGCAAATCATTTGAAATAATTTTTCATCATATGCAGGTCAAAGACAAATGGGCTTTATCAATAAAGGTATAAAATGAGAAATGCATCCAATGCCAAGTTTTGTGTCTGCTTTCAGTGTGGTATTCAAATGGCAGATCTCAATTTGGTTAAAGTATATATGCGGGGGACTATTTAATTTATAGCTTCCTTCATACATTTCGTTGGGTACTCTGTGCATAGATGATAATTAAGTCTTCAAATATATCTCTGTTGCGCAATGTGCCTTTTATTGCCAATTTATTTTGTCAAAAATGTCATCTATGGGCCTATCTCTAGATAGGAACAAAAATGATTTTAGCTACAGTAAACGTAAATATTTTTTTTACCTATTGCTTATGGAAGAAAGTTAATTAATTATCATATTTTAGGATGAAAGGACCGAGGTTTCCATTGCTGGTACTGTTGATGGTAGAGTCGAATTGATGACTCAAGAGATCAATGATGCCCATCTTAAAGAGTGCAAGATGTTGTTGCCAAAAACAATAGAAGATATGATTTCTCACATGAAAAAGGTTTGCATGATATATTTTTTCTTCATTTTTTTGTGGAATATATAGAAATGCTCATATGAGTTCTTATTTGCAGCTCCCGGATTTCCTTAACATCCAGGAGAGTTCCATGTTAGGGAATTTAAGTTTCTTCAAGTTATTGGATGAGCAAGTAACAAAGTACTTGAAAGATGTGTTGGATGGTGGTGGCTTGGATGCTTATGAAACATATGTTCGCATTTTCTCAAATGACATTGAGCCGGTCTGTCCTTTTCAATCTCCTATCTAATTTGTTTCATCTCATTATGTCTTATTGGTAAAAATATCTACAATGGTGATGAATATGTATTGTTCTTTATGCAGGTTATAAAATGTTTCATTGAACGGAAGAATGGGCATGACACAAAACAGAGAAAGATTGATAAGCTTAAAACCATGTTCAAGGCATATACCAAATTTGTCTCTCCTGATGTTATATTATATTCTGCGATTCCGCAACCAGCAAAGACAAAGGTATTAGAACAACCACAAAAAATTCAGTTTAATTTGGAATTTCTGTATTAATGCTGGGATATGACAATATATTTTAGTTGATCATAATGTTGTTTGTTCTGCAGTTCAACGAACAATGTGACATGGTACGCCAAAGGTTCAATTCTACTAATGCTGTTCATCAAAAGAAGAAATCAAAAGCTTACGTTCCTGATGAATTTAATGCTGAACTAGATAGCATGATTGAAGAGCTTAATGATGCCTATAAGGAAACACTTGCAAAATGGTAATTAACTCTCGATCTGTATGAACTGTAGCTTGTCCAAAGGTTGGAGATTTTTTTGTAACTTACCAACCCCTTCTCTTTTTCGTAAGACTGAGTTATAGGTAGGGCCAAAAAAAGCCACAAAAAAAGAGTCAAATCGCACCATCTCTATAATAAGTAGATGCCTTTTTTTCTCCTGAGGTTGTCGGAATTATTCTCAATAAAAATATTGGCTACAATTGAGGAGGTCTTATCAATGAAATTTCCATTTACACGGGATCTAGGCATAAGCCTTATTTCTATTTTGGCATTTTCGATTTCAGGGCTTTTAGCCCCGGTTAGTGAAGGATCAAAGAAGCTTTCTAGTTATGAATCGGGTATAGAACCCATGGGAAGGGCTTGGGTACAATTCCGAATAAGCTATTATGTGTTTGCGCTCGTTTTTGTTGTTTTTTGATGTGGAAACCGTCTCTCTATACCCTTGGGCAATGAGTTTCGACTTATTGGGTGTATCCGTTTTTATCGAAATTTTGATTTTCGTGCTTATCTTGTTAGTTTAGTTTATGCATGGCAAAAAGGAGCCTTGGAATGGTCTTAACTGAATATTTAGACAAAAAAAGAAGGAAAAGGTTATATTGAGACAGTTATGAATTTGATTGAGTTTCCCTTGACCAAACAAGTTCCAATTATGTTATTTCAACTACACCAAATGATCTTTCGAATTGGTCAAGACTCCAGTTTGCCTTTATTTCTTAAAAGGTTTGATCATATTAATGTTTAAGACCTGGTTATTTTTTTCACCTTTTATCTAACTTTACAATGAAGACTAATCAAGTTACTGTACTCCGGAAGCAGGAAACCAAAAAAAGTGAAATTATACTACAACATCCTTCAAGATGATTATCCGGGCACCATTACGAAAATTCGTGAGACACTACTGCATCCAGAGAAAAAGAAGATTTTAGGATGTCGTCTGCTGCCTCTTCAACTTGAGCATCAGGGAGTTCCACATACATGGTTACATCTCTACTTGCAGGGCGAGAAAGATGATGCTGTAATGCTTCATGTAAAGAAGCATAATGGTTATATTATAGGTTTTGATAACAAGGAAAGACAATCGTTTGAGCTTACGATGGGAATTCAGGATGATGAATTGGCCCCTCCCAAAATCCCCAGAGCTAAATACGTGGGCTTTGGTTATGATTATATCAGCCTGCTGAAAAAGGAGATGGGATCGGAAACTACTGACATTCTGAAGTTTGTTTGTCAATTTGTACTGGATGTGACAAACTTTCTGAATTCCATACATGTGCTTTCTTATTTTGGTTGTGACCTTAATCATCGCCAGGCGTGTCCATTGTGTAGTAGTCCAAGAGCCGCCCAACGGGCAATTGTCTGCATATCTTTCATGCTGTTTGAGCCATCAAGGATTAAAGAGATTGAGAACGCCATATACAATGGTGGGTTTTTAGGCCAAGCTCTCACTGAGGTACTTATGCAGGCCATATGGCATTGGAAGGAGATGTCGGACGTGTTGCTGAGGTATGACAGACCCGAACAAAAAACTGAGATTGAATTTATTGATGCTATCAAGATTAAGGTGAATCTGCACACCGTGCAAGCAATAGCAAAATTCCTGTCTTTAATTCTCAACAGAAAGGCCAACGACACCGACAAAGTAGAAAAAAAACAGGATGACTCTGACGAGGATGGTGAACATCCTGATGATGAGGGTGAACATCCTGATGATGAGGGTGAACATCCTGATGAATATCCTGCCGGAGATGGTGATGACAACCAGTTTCCGCCCCCTTCGCCTGCAGCACCTGGCGATGGTGATGACAAGGAGAAGCAGCTGAAAGAACCACCCATGGAAGGGCGGCAACATGGCCAAACCCTTTTACACATTTTTGATGTGCGTTTTACGGGTCATAAGAAAGATCTCAGGGGCATCGTGGTTCATGAAGGGCGTGGCAGCCATGTCATCAACTCACTGAAGTACGTAGTAGGATATTGGAGATCCTCTAATGACCTGGGTCGTCAGATGCAACTTGCTGCGCATTATGTCCATAAGGTAAGCTTTTTAGGATAATGATATAGTCCTCAAAATGAATATGATTTTCTGCGCAAACATGCCCCTAGTAATTATTTTCTTATAGATAGTGAGATTTCTAAATATTGGGCTATGTTTTATCATCCAGCTGATATATGATGCTTCTGTGATGCAGCAATCTCTGAGCCTTTCTGGACCATCAGTTGCCATCTCACCGGAAGATGGATGTTCCCTCGAGTTCTTCCCCAAACGGTGGAACAAATCTGTCGCTGGTGATGATCTTGCTTTAAAAAAGAAGGATACTGTTGTCATGCGATTGGATGATGGGCGATCGTATTATAATCAACAGAGGCTCAAAGAGATTAGTCTTGGTAGCAACTCTTTGCTGGTGTCCTATGCAATCTTTACTGGAGCTGTTGAGGCGACCATGGAAATCAGTCTGCGACTGCCCCGTGAGATATTGTGCGCCCATGTACTCAACCTAAACATATGTGGCTTCATTGAAGTACAATTGACATCTCAGGATACTACGATACTGCAAGTTCATGCCCATCCAAAGCACGGCATAGTATCCAGAGACCCAATAGATGGAAAGCCTGTCCTTTTGTCAAAGCACTCGGCCCTGTCTCCAGGCACTGGAGGGTATGTCTCAATGCCCAAGCATCCAGGTCTGCTTGACCTGGTCCATTCGACCACCATAAGCGTTCCATTGGTACGACCAGTTATGGTTGTGAAGCTTGATTCTGAAATCAAGTTTAGTGGGACTCTGGCCATCCAAGATGTTGGTTGTATGGACATCGATGGCAATCTCTGCATTCCAAGAGAGGTTGACGTCAGCAGGAACGTCAAGACCAGATGGAAATCCGGCCTGTTTGGGATTGATTACCAAGTAAAAATGAATCTAGTGAACAGATTCCTTGTTTGAAGACATCACTGAGAATAGATCAGACAATTCAAAGCTATGTCTCCATGGTCTGTACCTACATGGAAGGGGAGATGCTGCTAAACGAACTGCCTTTTCCTCTACCGACTCCCTCCATTTTCAATCTTGATCAGATCAAGGCACTCACCTTAGACAACCTAGTGTCTGAGAATGGTAAGCATACCGCCCACAAGTAATACAACGGCCGGTCTTGTTGGTCGTTACTCTTGGCTTTGGCTCACATTGTTTCCTGAAACTAGGTGCAGCTCTCAGTTTTGCGGACCTGGAAATCAAGCCTCTCAAGTTGAAGGGCTACCCTACCGAGTTCCTTGTCTGCTACAGGGAGGCCATCTTTTGGCTCTACCATCAGCGAGAAGATGGGTAGCGCAGATGTGGCCCCCTGATTCTGAAGACGCCGTAGAATCGATGATCATTTAGTTGAAAGATAAAATTGTTGTTGTGTTTTGTTTCCCTGTCATCTGCCGAATGCCTCGCCCCCTTGCAGGACCAGATTTGATGCAAACGTTAGCCCCTGCCCTTGTTTTTAAGTATCAAAAATAAGGAAAGGCATGATGTTACTGTGAATTTTTGAGCTGGAAATGCAAGTAAAGCGAATCATTTCGACGGTGACCGACACATTCATGGAGATTTCAGAGTATAAATCTCATTGATCATGTCCCTAGGCAATAAAATTGTTTTGACTTGAGTTATTTTGATGGTTCTGTTTGATACTAGCTACACATAAATTCAGGGTATCTTTATATTGGAGAAGTTAAACGACCGCCATAGTTGGTAGAAAAACGGAATTACTATGTCATGGCACTACAAGTCTACAACAGTAAGAAACACAGGCATTGCTAGTACTAAGTAGTACTTGAGGTGATGAATGACACTGCTAGTCTGAACTTTTGTAGTAACCGAAGCATCCAGTAACAACTGTCCGCTATCTTATGCAATTAGTCACGAAATATGTTCAGCAGATTACTGGAGTTCACTATCCTCTGTGCCAGCAAAATTTCAGTGATTTTGTTCAAATTTTGGTAAAACTTCATTTGAATTTGGGGTTCTGTTTCGGTATGAAATTAACGAAATATTTTCCAAAATGTCTGAAATTTTGTGGGTCACAAAAATTCTCATCACGATTTTTCTCCCTGGTTCAGAGTGTAGCAGTTCACACTACGATAGA